TGGTGGTCTGGGCAGGAGTGGGAGGAATCAACCTCCTCCTTCCCAGAATTCTCCTGTTCTCCTTACATCATTTCTATTTCCTTTCTGGGTTTTCCCGCCTATATTTCCTGCCTGGCCAATCAGTGTTTATTTATAACATGATTAACAGAATACAGACAATTTTCCTGCACCAGCACAGCCCCAGGCAACATTATGAATGGGCATAGCAGCACAATAGACTCAAATTGGCATGGCACAGTGGTGGCAGGGCCCTCAGACACCAATATTGCCATAAGTTGAGGCCTAGACCCTGGGCATCTGTGTGGTCTTTGGTGGCAATTTGGGTCATGGATGTCAACACAGACCTTGGCTGTGGAAGGACCATGGACTCAGACATGACCCTAGGCAGGAGTCTGGGCCCTAACACCACCATGGCCCTGGCTGACAAGCAGGCCACCCATATCAGCCTTTTCCTCACCGCCTCGCTTCCTCAGTTCTGCCTCTTTCCACATCACATGAACCATTCTGCTTCTCTTTCTCTCCCATTTCACCACCATATATGTGCTCATCATAACGGCATGTACAAGCCCGGTGCCTTCAGCAAGCCTAGACTGTGAGGACCCAGGATGGCCTGTGAGTGTTGTCAGCCTGTCTGACCTGAGCAGCACCAGGCAGACCTGTGGATGCCTTCAGCCAGTCTGAACTGTGGAAGACCATCTTAGTGTGAGGCAGGGTCCTGCTTCCAAGACAGAGGATTCTGGACTACATAAGTCGGCAAAGGTAGTTGAACATGAATGCTTTCTTCCCTTCTCTGCTTCCTGACTGTGTTTGCAAGAGGCCCAGCTCTCTCAGGCCTCTACAGCTGTGACCTCCCCACTGAGGGATGTGCAACCTTGAACTGAGAGCTGAGAGAAGCCCTGGCTGCCTTACATTGCTTTGCAGGACATTTTGTCACAGCCACAGAGAAGAAACTCGAGTAGACACCTGACTGGACTCTTGGCTAAAGTCCCTGTAGAATTTCCGTACTGATAGCTTTCCCACCAGGGGAGGAGAGATGCAGGCATGGCATCCCAGGGGCAAAAAATAAAGCACATGTTAGGTCAGTGTTGGAATCCCACAGTAAACCAGAGGCAGTGGTCAAGGCCCGTGTCCTTTGACAGCTCTGTCCATGTCCACTCCACACTGACATTAGTGACTTCTGTGTGTGGTGACCCACACACCCGACAGAACAACAGGAGGGAGGAAGGTCTGCTTTGTCCCAGAGTCAGAGAACTGCAGGTCACTTTCCAGAGGTGGCAGGTGGCAGAGCGGTGGGGTCCATCCAAGCAGAAGGTCGTCTGGGAGACGACAGAGAAGAAGCAGACAGAGCTAGAGGACACAAGGCAGGGAATTCACAGTCCTGGGCTCCAGACCCACTAACAGTCCCACCCCAGGATCCGCAGCGTGAACTACAGGAGCCTGTGGAACTCATTCCAGATTCCAAACATAATACTCTTGTATCCATAGCTCGTTCTCTTTCTGAAAACCCAGACATTCGTGGAGGAATTGATGCTGTAACTTGTATCCAAACAGCCTGGAGCAAGAGGCCTCTCTTCTTTGGTGATGTAGGATCTTCTTCAATGACTTGGCTAATGTAATTCACAATATGGAAGTTTGTCCAAAGTGTCTCCTCACTCAGAATTTGTGTCATCTAAATATGGCTTCAGCTCACTCTACTAATGGTTAGTGCATCTGGGTGGTACGACCTGGTCAGGTTCCCATGCAAAATTTATCTCCCCATTTTCATTATAATCCTTATTTTTTATTTTAGCCTTTACATAAATGTGATATGTATACCTAGCCAGGCAGTGGTGATATACTTTAATTCCAGCACCCAGGAGGCAGAGACAAGCAGATTTCTGTGAGTTCAAGGCCAGCCCAATCTACAGAGTGAGGTTCAGGACAGCCTGTTACACAGAGAAACCCTATCTTGGAAAAAAAATGTATATCTAAATATATACATATATTTCAATGTGCTTCAATACTTCTGATCACAGAACAGACGTTGTGCCATGTAGCAGAAGGGATCTATCAGCAGGTGGCATGGCCTGTCCCTAATGAAGTCTATCTCTGAGGGTGGGAGCTGCTTGGTCCTGTTTACAGGAAAGTACATTACAAGTACACGTCACTACCATGGTAACAGCAATAAACGTCTGCCTGCTCAGACTGTGGCATTTCAGTCCCCAGAGTCGAGTTTATTTATTCTCCTGACAGGTTAGAATGGCAGGGTGAGCTGAGACTGTGGGAGGGGGCTGATGCTACTGTCTGGAGGCTCTGTCTCTGATTGCCTGGAGACACAGCCATCCCTTCTCCCTACCATCCACACATCCTGTCACATTCTTACTGATGTCTTCTCTAAGCCCTGACCATGAACTCCTCCTTGGCTTCACTGTGGGAGTCACAGCACAATTCTAGGAGTTGGAGAACCTGGGCAGAGCAGCTGACTTCAGCACCCGGAAGCCCTGACTTCTCTTTCTGTGCCAGTGTATTGTGAGCTGAGGAGGGGAAAGAGGAGAGCAATACCGGGGAAGTTTACTCCTTTAGAGCCTTGATCTCACAGTGAAACCGGCTAGGAAAGAGGGAGTCAAGGTCACATGTGAGAACAGAGTCTGCAAAAAGCCAAATCTGCTCACCTCAGAGCTAAGACACCTCCACTGTCTCTGAGAGGAACTCAGGGTCCTTTCTTTAGTTACAGAGAAAATTGTAGAAGACTAAGACCATCGTTCTGGGGCAACAACAGGTACAATGCAGTGTGCCTGATGCATATATGCTTGTGGATGTGTGTGTGTGTGTACGTGCATGCAGGGGTGAATCTGCATGTACACTGTGTTTGTGTGTAACTGATGACCCAGTACTTGTAGCTACATGCTAACTGCGTGACACAAGCCCACTCGACCATGTGGCTCTGGTAGGCTTTGCTCTTTTCTCCTATTCCGTCTGCCTTGCTGAAAACCACTAAATCACATTCCTAAAGCTGACCACCAAGGTCCTCTCACCTATTTGGCCACTTCCTCCTCCTGAGGCCGACTACCAAGGTCCAGTTATCAAAGTATTTAAATCCAGAAATCAACAACCCTCTTTGGCTCACCTAATTAACATGCCCAATCAAAACATAACACAGCATCCTAGCCCATTCTAACACTGATCTCCCCTTTTTCTTTTCTTAAAAACTACACGTTTAAGGTCATTTGCTGCTGGTTTTCTCCCTGAATCAGAAAGCAGTCATTTGAACCCTCCCCCATTCCATAAAGGATCTCTCTGTGAAAATAAGTGCATGGGTGTGGTTTGTGCCTATTATGGGGTCCAGGAGGGAGCCCCCACTTTGCAGGGGAGGTTCTCCTCATTGGTGCTGAGAGTGGATGAGCCAGGAATCTCCCAGCCCTTTTCCATACATTCAAATCCTCTGTCTCCCAATTCCCTCATCCAATAGTGGCTGATTGGTAAGTCCCCCACTTGGCTGTCCTAAAATAATCACCAAGTAATTGGGTGAAAGTCACGCAGTGTCTAGTGTCCCCACTCTGTCCTGTAGGATTGGCGAGACTGCACCTCACTTGAACTCCCATGGACTGACTGTTAGCTAGGCACATTCAGTCCAGTCTGGTTAGGTAGGGATTTCCCCCATTCATTCTTGGTGGTCGCACTGCCTGAATCTGGTACCTTTCCTCCTCCAAAAAGACCTGACAGCGGGTTGTGGATTCATCCTCCTATCATCTCCCAGGCCCCCAAAAAGCCCTGATCTGGATCCCATACTCACTCCCTGAATAGCTTGGCTCCAAACCCCAATCCAGTAAAAGAAACACACACTGAAAATGGGACTCAAGTGAGGGGAAGAGACACTTTGTCCCCAAACCTATAGCTGGAGAAATTTTCTCAGACCTTGAAATCAGGACCAGAAGAACACACTAAGCCCCTACATTCAGAGCATATGAAAGATATTTTCCCTGGTCCCAAAATTAGAGTCAAAAAGGTAAAAAGAACCAAAAAAAGAAATACAGTTTGATCCCAGAATCAAAGCTATCTCTGCCCCTGACACAAAACCACCCAATCCCTGAGCGTGGACAACAGACCAATTGCTGAGCACCTAGAGGCCGTTGGGAATTCCCTCAGGCCTGGACATCTCTTTCCGTCAGAGGGGATAGCCAATGCCAAGTCTGGAAGTCTGGAATTGCCTTCACTCCACTCAGGGGCAGCCAATCACAAGCACAGAGACTTGGAATTCCCAAAGTCTCTTCCCCAATATAGACACCCTCTTTTCACAAACCCCTGTGCTGTTCCTGTTGCTGCTGGAAGAACAGAGGTATCCAAGTAAACTCACAATAAAGACTCTTTGCTTTTGCTTTGGAAATGGGATCATGATGACTTTTTAGGATGTTGGGTGTAACAAAATTAACTCATACCCTGAGTGTGAGAAAGGCTTGGTTTTTATAAGTGATGTCCAGCAGGCGGCACAGCCATCCAAGCGAGCAAGCGTCTCCAAAAACAGCAGACCTTACATTACCCTGTTTAATCTTGTGACCCATTGCCTTGTAGGAATAGCTGGAGCAGTAAAATATTTTACAGCAATTAGCAATTTTTTAAGAATAGCCCAACTGTATCAGGAAATGATGGTCCATCTCAGGCCAGCTGACAGGGCACATTCAAAGTAGGAACAACTTCCTCATGGCTTCTACAAGCTGAATACAATGTTGTTTTTACAGCCACAGTAAATGTATCCTCTAAACATAGTGTTCGCCATCACAGGGGAAATCTCCACAAGTGGCTAGGGAGATCATTCATTTCTCCCAGGAGCTCACTTGGCAGGCAGCCTTGTCTGATTGATGAAGTCTAAGACAGTGAGAGTGTCTCAAAGTAAGAAGAATCGTCCTGAGTGACAAGAGCACCTGCACACACGCGTCCACCTACATTGCCCACTGGTGAGAGACAGACAATCAACAGGACAGCAGCAAGGGGTGCGGGGTTACAGCAAGAGTCTGCAAAGTCCCGGGTGTAAAGGTCAGTAGTTGCCATCATCTGAACAGAGGGTCTTGAGGTGGTGGAGTAAAATGGTCAGTGCTGGGGAGCACAGGATGACACTGGAGTCGGCTACCAAGCTCCCAAGCACTCAGGAAACCCTGGGTTTGGGCTAGGGTCACTTCAGCAGAGCTCCGCCTCCCTCTCAGAAGGAGGATGTGAAACCTATTCCCCTGATTTGTGCAAACCAACGCCCTAGTTCAAAGAACAGAAACCAAACCCTCCTCTGACTGCAGCCCCTCCCTTTAGGGACCAAGCAGACAGGATTGGAATCTAGGAAGTGCAGAGCAGAGAGCAGAGACTGTGAAGGGCAGGATCTGGAAGGAAATCTGGGCAGATCAGCCTTTGCTTCCCAGCTGTTCTGCTCTCCGAAAACACCAGAAACCCAGCACTGAGCATTCGGTCTGGCTGCTGGACATCCCAGCTAAGAAGACGCCATAGACAGCTACCCCAGCGACCTTGTTCCCAGGGAAGAGGGAACATCACAGGAGGGTCACTCACTTCATCACTGGGGAGCAGGTATGTGAAGGAATTTAAGTGCAGCTTGACCAGAAATCCTCCTTACTTATGACGCGGCAGGGGAATTCCTGGTACCAGGGCAGAGGAGCTTGTATTCCGGTTTATTTCACTCAGGGATTTTTTCACGGTTGGGCCCTTCTGCATCTTCTGTACCACAGAGGACCCCAACCCACCAGCAAGGCAGCAACAGTCTTTTCTATCTCCTGCACATTCCTGGGCCTGTTGCTCTTCTGATGAGAGCTTCAGTGTGGAGAAGGGGGGCAGGCTGTGTGAGTAGATTCCTCAGAGTCACTGCTGTAAGCTGTTTAGGGCGGGTTTTGTTCTTGGGGCTGTTTGTTGTTTTCATTGTTTTCGTTGCTATTTGAAACTGGATCCCTCTGTGTGCCTCTGGCTGGTCTAGGACCTGAAATCAGGCCGGGCTCTAACTCAGGAATCTATCTACCTCTTCCTGCTAGTGCTGAGATGAAAGGCGTGTCCCACCACACCCTGCTTTACTATTTTATTTACCCCACAGTGATAAAATGCCATAATTAGAATACTCACTAATATTTCCTGGTGAACAATGAATCTATGAAAAAGCATGAACTTGACCTTGACCACCTGTAGAGTAGAAAGGTCTTCAGGTTGGGTTTAGAAGAGGAAGTCTCTAAGTGGTCTTTTTCTCTGGCTTGGATCAGCTATTTTCTCTGAATTGAGAAAACTGAGGCAGGGCAGAAACTCTTTCAGTGATTACTTTAATGAGGTTTGGCCTTTTCCAACCCTTCAGAGAGTATGCCACGCTCAGTACTGACTGACCTGAAGATCATGCAGGCATATATATTTTACTGCAATAAAATAGCATATTAATTATTCTCTCAAACTTTCCATATAGTAGTCAAATATTATCAGGAAGTTTTCTCTTTTTATTCAGATGTCAAAATTTTTTTTCATTTAGTATATTTTTTGAGAGCCTCATGCATGAACACTGCATCTACCTCACTCCAGGTTCCCTCTCTCCTCACTCCAAATTTTCCCATCTCTCAATTACTGATCTAATCTTTAATTATTATCATAATATGTATGTACATATGCAATGGCTGCTACTTTGTCCACTTTCAAGATTTCTCACTGTTTCATACATATACTTATCAGAATATATCAAGGCTAGAGTAGTTGTTTTTTTGTCTCTCAGTCCTTTAATGGAAGTTCAGATTAGTTACATAAAACAAGAAGTACATAGAGCCTAGCATAGGAAATCTATTCATGAACAGCCTTCATTTTGTATTAAATCATTTGTTTATTTGGTAAGGTACAAGCACATTTGTTAAATTTGAACAAAGGGAATATAATGTAATTTTTAAAATTCAGTGAACACCAACAGAGTAGACCAGGCTGCACACCTGAGTAGTAAACTCTTTCCTATACCATGGTGCTATGAGTGTGCACGCATTGGGTCCTGTGTCAAATGGATTTCCTGCTGAGGGTGTCAGTCGGAAGCTGCGAAGATGCTGCTCCCAGATTCTGGATCTCCTCCACTTTGTATCCTGCATCTTTCCAGGTGTCCCTAAGTGGCACCGTCTCTCACTACTGAATCGCTCAAATCAACCCTTGACTGCCTTCCACGCTTTCTCCTCACTTGTGAATTTGAACTCCTCGTTCCAGCCACAGGTTGACTGGCAGTTCTCCAGATGCACCACAGTGCGCCATCTTTATCTCCACGCACGCGCTCTCTTCACTCCCGCCCTTTCCATTCACCCAGACCGCTCCACACAGCATTCGACACCTTGCTTAGATGTCGCTTCTTTTCGAAAATCTTCCATGCCCATGGGGTTCTATTCTGTGCTTCCCAGCAATCCCACAGATACCTGGTTCAGATGGTAGCATGTGTGAGGCAGGCCAAGAGGCAAATTCTGAGCATCAGAGCCTCTGTCTGGATGTTTTGAAGTCAGGGACAGGTCATTCCTGAGAAACGGCAGCCATTTAGAAGTGAAGCTGGGGTGACAACTGCTAGGGGCCCACAAAGGTGCTTGTGTTATCCTGGTTCTGGAACACAACTTGAGACCAAGAACAGTGATGGCCTCGGCTTTTTCCCTGCCTTGGCTTTGCTTTCTCTGTCTGAGATCTTTTGTAATTGCAAAAGGAACTGTAAGAGTCTTTCTGCTTCAGTGAATGATGGCATACAAGACAGAGGTCTTGGGATCATTGCCCAGGCTGACCTTGTGATCCATAGCAAGACCTCCTTAGTGTTGCAGGTATAGGTCTGAATTTATCTTGATGAACTAAAAGTCCTTCAAACAGGAAAATGGTCAAGGGTAAAGGAGTCTCAGTCAAGCCAAAATATACAATCAATCTAGAAGTAAATGCAGTTGAGTCCTGAACATTTGATTAAAAGGGGGAAAGACCCCATTTGTAATATGTGTGGTTAAAGGGACTCTGCTTTCCCCTTGGCTTTCTCTTTCTGAACTAATTCTTTGACCTTCCCGGTTCTTTCCTCCCTTAGCACCATCAACTGTTACCAACCATGGGTCAGTCCTCCTCTTCTACACCCCCTCAGAAGGAGGAGCCTGATTTGACTTCCAGCCTCAACACAAATCTTTACAATTTCAAGATGGAAACCAATATCCTGTCTCAGGAATTAACCACCTTGATTGAATCATACCTAAAGGACGGGAACCTGCGGGGAACAGTTTCTGCAATCAGCGATGCTCTGAGTGACATCGAGAAAATCCCACTGAACATCGCAGTGATGGGGGAGATTGGGGCTGGAAAATCCAGTCTCATCAATGCTCTACAGGGGGTGGGGCCTGATGAAGAGGGTGCGGCTGCTTCCACCGGAGTGTTATGTACCACCACTGAGAGAACACCATACCCATACTCCAAGGTTCCCAGTGTGACACTATGGGACCTGCCGGGCATCGGGTCCACTGCCTTCCAACCACATGATTACCTGAAGAAAATCAAGTTTGAGGAGTATGACTTCTTCATTATTGTCTCTTCTGGACGCTTTAAACACAATGACGCAGAACTAGCCAAAGCCATTGTGCAAGTGAATAGGCATTTCTATTTTATTCAAACCCACACAGACAATGATCTAATGACTCAAAAACAGCGTTGGCCTCAGAGATTCAATAGAGAGAACACCTTAAAGCAGATTCGAAATTCCATCTCAAGTATACTTAAGGAAGTGACCCAGCAGGAACCTCCAGTCTTTCTAGTCTCTAACTTTGATGTGTCTGACTTTGACTTCCCAGAGCTGGAGGCCACCCTTCTGAGGGAGCTCCCAGCCCACAAGCGGCACATCTTCATGCTCACTTTGTCAGTTGTTACGCAGTCCGCCATAGACCAGAAGAGGGACACAATGAAACAGAAGGTCTGGAGGGATTCCGTAATGCCAAGGGCATGGGTCACCATGTCATTTAAGGGCTTGACTAAAAATGACATAGAGAAGTTAAAAGAGACTTTGAACTTTTGCAGATCTTCCTTTGGCCTGGATGAGGCATCCCTGGAAAACATCGCTGAGGATTTGCACGTGGCCCTGGAGGAACTCAAGGAGAACATTAAGTCTCCACATTTGTTCTCAGAAGAGCAGGGTAAATCCTTAACAGATAAACTTTCGGAGTACATCAGCCACTCTTACTTTTCAAAGACTTTGCACTTGCAAAATTTCTTCATTGACACTGTGGCAAATGATGTTAAAATTCTCCTTAGCAAAGAAGAGCTTTTCACAGGGAAGGTAAGTCCATTTCAACTCTAAATCCTCTCTATATTAGGAGGCATCAATGTGTCAAAACTGTTTTCCACAGTTGTTCCAAGAAGAACCTTTCTATGCATTTTCTTGAAATGTTTTAAGGTGTTGTCAAGTCCATTTTCTGCACCTGTTGAAATCTTATGATCTATTGGAGAAGGCTGTTTGTTCATTCCCAGCCTCTTAGACCCAAAATAGCCACACAGAAATATATTATTTGCAATGCTGTTTGACCAATAGCTTAAGTGTATTGCTAGCTAGCTCTTAAATCTTTGGTTCCCATTTCTGTGTATCACCACGTGTCTGAGGCTTACTGGCAAGGTTCCAGCACGTCTGACTCCAGTGATGGCTACATGACTTCCTGCTGACTCCACCTACTCTCTCTATATATCTCATTCAGCCTGGCTTTACTCTGTTAAGCCATTGGGCAAAAGCAGTTTCTTTATTAACCAATAAAAGCAACACATAGACAGAAAGACTTCCTGCACCAATGGTCTCTCAGATTCAGACTTATAGGATGCACTCTTAAGGTGTTTCCCTACAAATTGTCTCATTTCTGTGGTGTTTATTTGCTTTGTTTTTATGAAATATTTCCATTAGATGGAATCCTTCTCGTCAGTTTGCTTTTGTTTCCTATGCTATGGGCCCCTATGTCCTGATGTTCTGATGAAGTTTATCATATACATTTTCCTTTAGGAATTTCAAATTTCCCTTCTTATAGCAAGCTCTTTGGCCATTTGAGTTGGTTTTTGTATAGGGTGAAAGCTAAGGGTCATGGTTTAGTCTTACCTGATGTGCAGTTTGCCCAGTTCTGCTTGTCAAACACTGTGCCCTTTGTGCAGTCTTAGTTTTGGAAGCCTCACTGAGATGTTGATTGAGTGTAGGTGCCCCCAGGTGGCTGTACATGTATGCCGACATTTCTGGGTCCTCTCTTCTGCTCAGGTGGTTGGACTATTGACCCATTTCCATGCCACTGTTTTCTGCGGTTCTGATTTATTCCTTGAAAGCAGGTATTTTGGTGCCTCCTTGCCCTTTTTTTTTTTTTTTTTTTTTTTTTTTTTTTTTTTTTTTTTGACCAATGCTGTTGGGCCGTTAGCATTTGCTTGTTCTTCTATGTACATTTTATCATTCCACAGTCAAGTTCTATTTTATGTAGTAGGAGCTGCGGGCCGCTTCCCGCCTCCCAGTTCCCAGCCACCGGCTAGCTTTCCCCAAAATAATTACACAGAAACTGTATTCTTTTAAATACTGCCTGGCCCGTTATCTATAGCCTCTTATTGGCTAATTCTCACATCTTGCTTTAACCCATATTTAGTAATCTGTGTAGCACCACGAGGTGGCTTACCAGGAATGATCTTAACCTGCGTCTGTCTCAGGTGGGAGACTCATAGTGACTAACTCACTTCCCTTCTTCCCAGCATTCTGTTCTGTCTACTCCACCCACCTAAGGTCTGGCTTATGAAATGGGCCAAGACAGTTTCTTTATTAACCAATGAAATCAACACAAACAGATCGACAGATGACAATACTACATCAATTTTAAATGACACTGATATTTTTAGATGAGATTTAATTGGGACTGAAGATTACTATGCAAAGTATAGGCAATTTGACAACATTTAGTGTTTATAAGCTATAAACATGGCAATCTTAGCATCTTTTGTAGCCTTGTTTGAGATTTCTTTCATCGGTGTTTTGTGAGCATTGTTTAATGCTTTCCATTTCCTTGGTTAATAATTGAATTTGATTGCTCCCTGCCTTTCCTTTCCTTTTTATCTTTCCTCTCCTCTCTTTTCTTTTTCTTTACCTTCCTTTCTTTTCTACTTTCCTCTTTGCCTTCCTATCCGCTATATGTGTATCTGTGTCTATTATAAACAGACTTTCAAGGTTTCTTTCAAATTTTTATACTTCAGATTTTCTAAAGCAAATCGTGCATTATCGTTCTAATTTCACTCATCAGTATTCTTTGGATTTCAGTAAGATTTTTTTTCTTGTTTGTTATTATACTTTTGGTTTACATACAAGATAGTGGGTTATATTATGGCATTTACATACAAGTGTACCGTTATACATTCTCATTCATTCTGATATGTTCTTATTCATTCATATGTTCTTACCTATTACCCTGATGCCCTCTACCATGCCTCTGTGCATGTCTGGCTAGCTCCCTTTTCCCCCAAAGAGTACCTTCTTCTTCTCCTTATCATATAGACTCTATTACTCACCCTATACATTTCCTCCTTTAACATTTCTTCTGCTGCTCATGTGATTGGAATTTTTATCATTGTTTTTGAAATATTTAAAAGAAATGCCATTTATTTTAACTTCTTCAGAATCTTTTACTAGAAGAGAGTTATGATCCTTTCTGTGTATCACTGCCTTGGCCATTTTTAATAATTCTTGTATCCTATGTAACAATTCTTGCTTCTCAGTGGAAATCTCTACTACTTAAATAGGATATCTGTACTAAGCAACTTCTCCAGAAAATGTGTCTTAGGAGGTTGGCTTGTTATGCGATATTGGGTCTATTTCCAGCTGTCCATCACAGTGTAGGTGCTATGTCTTCATTCTGGTGGCATTTAGTGAGTTTTGTCTCAGTCCATTCCATGTCAGAATTGTGGAGACCATTGTCTCAGCTGGTCTCACTAGACTGGGGACTCTCATGCATTACAAGCAACTGTGACATGAATTGTACAGTGTAAGCAATGCATCATACATGAATTTATATTCATTTCTGCAGCCACAATGACCAGGAGTTCCTAAACATTGTTTCTACTTGTCAATCAGTTGTCAGCAGAGTTCCAGTACTGGAGAGGCAGAGACAGGTAGACCTCCTAGGACTTATACTACATACATGTGCACTTGCACACACGCATGCAGCTTCACACACAACATCTCAAGTTATTCGCCTGAGAGTTTTGATTTTTTTCCATGTATTACTCTGAATGATTGTAGCATCTGTAATGCTGTGTCATTCCCCCCACTTCCCTTACTGTTATTGGTGACATGGCTTCCAACAAGGTGATTGGCAGAATCACAAATAGAATTCTGTAAACCTGAAGCTCCTATATTGAATTATATCATACGCCAGGATATTAGAGCAACTTGAAGCCAGTCTCTCATGACTGCCTGCATTTACCTTCTGTTCCATCTGCAATTCCAAAGCCCTGCCTGCGTTTCTAACATCAGAAGAAAAGGATACAAGTGTAGATCTGCACCTTCTCCCAAAGCTCTGGTATCTTTAGGATCAGAATTGATAAATGTGAATCTACACTCAAAGCTATCATGAAGTCTGGTTTTATACAATTCATGAATTAAAAAGTTTTAATATCTTTGTAAGATCATAATAAACTGTAAGTATATGACAGTAACTGGATATGACATATAAAGTCCAAAATATGAAATCTGTGGACATTTAAGGGAAGCATGTGTCGCTTCCCAATGGAACCTGTCTGAGCTTGTCCCACCTCTTCTGCTTTAAAAATTGATGCTTTTTCAGGGAAGGGGTATGATGGGAATTCATTTCTTCAGGTTTCTTTTGTTGTTGTTGTTTTGTTTTGTTTTGTTTTGTTTTGTTTTGTTTTGTTTTTTGAGACAGGGTTTCTCTGTAGCTTTGGAGCCTGCCCTGGTACTAGCTCTTATAAACCAAGCTGGCCTCAAACTCATAGAGATCTGCCTACCTTTGCCTCCCAAGTACTGGGATTAAAGGCATGCACCACCACCACCACCCAGCTTCAGGTTTTTTAACTTTAAGAAAATGAGGACACATTTTTAAATTTTTTTTTAGGTTTATTTATTTATTATGTATACAACATTCCTTCCATGTATGCCAGTAGGCCAGAAGAGGGCACCAGATCTCATGGTAGATGGCTGTGAACATGTGGTTGCTGGGAATTGAACTCAGGACCTCTGGAGGAGCAGTCAGTGCTCTTAACCTCTGAGCCGTCTCTCCAGCCTGATGACACATTTTTACTGTCTTCTTTGTGCTCTCTCCCTCTCTCTCTTTCTCTCTCTCTCTCTCTCTGTCCGTCTCTCTGTCTCTTTGTCTTTCTGTATCCAGTTTGGGATTTTTCATTTTTGTTGGTTGTTTGTTTAAGAATTAAAGACCAAACCACTAGAAAGCAGGGGCACATGGGGAACTTGCTTACCAATGAGGCTGGCCCCTACTTCCCCTGTTGAAAATGTAGGATAACATAGATTTTTAATAATGATTTTTTTTTAATTTATCCATTTTTAAGTTTTCAAACAAGCACATCCTACATGTTAAGTATAGCCCCTATTAGTTCCTTTGTTCCTGAGACAGTTTCTCTTCCCCTTTCATATCATACACATGTATGTAACTATGGATCTATATAAAATCTAAGATTCATGAATAACAAAATATATTTCTCTTTCTGAGGCTGGTTTAATGACTTAAAACAGTTATCTCCAGATACATCCACTTTTCTGCAAATGCCATAGTTTCAGTCTTCTTTATGGCTAGAACAAAGTCCATCACACCTGGGTAGTGATGTGTCCACCCTTCTGTGGGACACGTAATGAATCTTGTCCACTCCCCACCTCGTGTCCCTTCTCCCTTCATGCACACTCCTCCCAAGAGAAGCCGGGAGAGGTGTGCTAAGGAAGCAGAGGGCATGAGGCCTAAGAGCAATGCTTGTGAGCTCACAAGAGGCAGGGAGCCTTCCCAGGAGAGATGCTGCTGGAGGATTTGCTGTGCTGCTGATCTCTGCCCATAGGGTTTGACATTGTACGGGTGGTCACTATAAAAGGAGTAAACAGAATCTGAAGATAATCGTAGATAAGATATAAACACAAGGGAAGGTAATTTCATGGAATAAGTGGACCTTGAATCAGACAGTAAGGAAAAAGGGAAGTCATAGGACAAGTAGAGCCTGAGAAAGAGGGCATTTGACATGCCAGGCAGAAATCAAGCCAGCAGCCAGGAACGGAGAGAAGGGGCTGTCCACCTCTAATGGGCACAGAGGATGAAGTCCTGCTTTACCGCAGCAGCAAAGCCCTAGGCCTTGCTCTGCTGGACTCATAATTGCAATGTCTCTCTTGTCTCCTCTCTTCAGCATCTTCTGGAAACAGCTGCATGCAAGTCTTCTAGACCCTCTCCTTCAACGGCCCAGCTTTTGGCATCCAGCTTTGAAAAATTTTTTAAGAACTTCAAGAAGGAAAACAAAATCCTCTCTGAGGAAACTATCACCTTGATTGAATCCCACCTGGAGAATAAGAACCTCCCAGGAGCGGTTTCTGCAATCAGCAATGCTCTCAGAAACATCGACAGAGCCCCACTGAACATCGCAGTGACGGGAGAAGCAGGAGCGGGCAAATCCAGCTTCATCAATGCCCTGAGGGGAGTGAGGGATGAAGAAGAAGGCGCAGCTCCCACTGGGGTGGTAGAGACAACCATGGAGAGAACTCCATACCCCCACCCAAAGCTTCCCATGGTGACAATATGGGACCTGCCTGGGATTGGATCCACATCGTTCCCTCCCCAAAACTACCTAACGGAAATGAAGTTTGCTGAGTATGACTTCTTCATTATCATCTCGGCTACTCGCTTCAAAGACACTGATGCACATTTGGCCAAAGCCATTGCCAAGATGAATACAAAGTTCTACTTTGTCCGAACCAAGATAGATCAAGATGTAAGTAATGAAGAGAAAAGTAAACCTAAGACTTTCAATAGAGACAGCGTCTTAAAGAAAATCCGAGACGACTGTTCAAGGCATCTCCAGGAGACTCTCTCCAGTGAGCCCCCAGTCTTTTTGGTCTCTAACCTTGATGTGTCCGACTTTGACTTCCCAGAGCTGGAGACCACCCTACTGAGCGAGCTCCCAGCCCACAAGCGCCATGTCTTCATGCTGTCCTTGCACAGTGTTACGGAGACTGCCATTGACCAGAAGAGAGATTTCCTGAAACAGAAGATCCAGCTGGAGGCCTTGAAGGCTGGAGCTTGGGCCACCATTCCATTTGGGGGCCTGGTCCTAGATAAGATCCAGAAGGTAGAGGAGACCTTGGACCTCTACAGGTCCTACTTTGGGCTGGAAGATACCTCGCTGGAAAATATTGCCAAGGATTTTAACGTGTCTGTCAATGAGATCAAAGCACACCTTAAGTCTCTCCATTTGCTAACAAGGACCAATGACATGTCCTTAGAAAACAAACTATGGAAATACATTGAATATATTTCCTCTGTTACTGGGGGGCTACTTGCCACAGGCCTTTACTTTAGAAAGACTTTCTATTTGAAAAATCTCTTCATTGATACAGTGGCAAGTGATGCCAAGACTCTTCTCAATAAGGAGTTTTTATCAGAGAAGCTGATTGACCCCCCAGAATACTGGGAAGCAGCGATGGAGCTATGAGTCACTTACCTTCAGGCTGGCTTTGGTCACTGACTTATGAGCTACTTTGAAGCAGCAAACATTTTCTATGAAAGACCAGAGGGCTCACCTCTTTCAGAGACTGTGGCAGCTGAATAAGAGTCATCAACAGTGTAAACACACATGGGAAAAGCTGTCTCCCACTAAAATATCATGATGAGAACACACGGGTATATACAAGTGACTTATAATATCCTTCTGAGATTAAACTTGGATCTTTTGTCTCGCGGAGATTCCCCAGGCATTGCCACAAGAATATCATTTGGGGTTATGAAGGACAGGGGGCTGATTCCCAGAACACATCTCCACATGAGGCGGTATCTCCTGGACACAAGAGCCACATGGTAGATGGGATTGTGACCATTGTCCATGCTTCTCCAGGATGGACACAAGAGTCTCAGCACTCTTCCTGAAATGCAGAGGCAAATACCATAACCCCTTTCTTCTGTCCTTAGCTCTAAGTCCAGAACCACATGGCCGAAACTGCCAAGTCCCACTGCTTGCTAGGGCTGGAAAATGGCCCCCTTGTTTATTTACGTCTTCACCAGCTACCTGGTTTTGAAGGTTCCCATCACTGCCTAAGCTTGGCCATTTGGAAACTTGCTCTGTAGACCAGGCTGGCCTCAAACTCAGACATTGGCCAGCCTCTGTCTTCCCAGTGCTGGGATTAAAGGTGTATACCACCACACCAGGCTCTAAACTTTTCTCTAGAGCCTTTCCAGGAGTTGAAAATTTAGCTGGGTGGGATTTTGCCCTGAGGTCACCACTTCTGTTAGTACATTTCTTAATCTGTTTATCTTCTTGGACACAGGATTTAGCTCTATTCCACTTCCTGGTGATTTTTTTCCTCCTTAAAATTTACATTTTATAATTTACCCTGCTCAGATTGCTCTTTTTCATTATAAATCTTCATCAGAGTTAACACTAATTCATTAGCATTAACCTGACATAATACATACCAGGCTATTTTGAGATTTCTTCTGCCAATGGAATTAATCCAAAAGTATTAACTTTATCCTCAGGCAGACTCTTCAGACAAGGGCAGAAGATAGCTACTTTCTTCACTAAAATGTCACAAGAGCTATCTACTAAGGCAGCATACTAAAATTCTCCCATGAAACCTCTTGAGCAAACCCCCAGAGTTCATCAAATCACATTCAACACCACTGTCTTCCATGCTAGTACCAGTATGGCCCATTTAGCAGTACTTAAAGCATTCAACTGCTTTTCTAATCCATAGTCCTAACGTCCATATTCCTTCAAACAAAAGCATGGTCAGACCTATAATAGCAATACCCCACTCCTGGTACCAACTTCTGTCTGAGTTAGGGTTTCTGATACTGTGAAGAGACACCAAGACCACAGCATCTCTTGTAAAGGAAACATTTAATTGGGGTGGAAACATTTAATTCGGATATTCAGTCCATTATTAATGTGATGTCCTGTCCCTTTAAGAGACAAGCCACGCCCACTCTCTCCTGTCTGTTGTCTGCTGAGGCTGATCTTCAGCTTCCAGCCTGAGTCCCTTCTCTTTTCTGTCCCTCCCACAAAGGCAGCTTCTGCCTTGCTCCATTCTCCCCACTTCTCCCCTTTTCCCCTCTCTGTCTCTCTCTGTTTCTCTCTGCTCTTCCCCCTTCTCCCCTTCCCCCTTCTTCCCTTCCCTTCCATAACCCACTAAATAAATATCCAAACTCACTCTGCATGACGTGCCTATCCTTATGTCTCTCGCCTGCCATGTGGCTCCCTCCCCAGGATCAGCCGCCTTCTGAGACCTGTGGCATGATCTCATGTTGTGCCCATCCATCTGTCTCTCCTCATAGGACTCCCTGCCTGGGACTGTCTGCTCTCCCAACCCCCTGCCTGCTGCCTGGCCCCACTAGGGGACCTGCAGTATGGTCTCATGGCCCGCTGTCTGCTGCAGCCACTGGGGATCTGCAGCATTTTTACTTAACCCATTACAATTATCAAGGACCATGGCAGCATGCAGGCAGACATGGTGCTGGAGAAGTAGCTGAGAGTCCTACACTGCAGGCAACAGGAAATGGTCTGACAGTCACACTGAGGGAATCTTGAGCAAAAGAGACCTCAAAGGCCACCCCCACAATGACACACTTCCTCCAGCAAGGTTATACTTCCTCCAACAACGCCACACCTCCTAATAGTGCCACTCCCCATGACTTAAGGGGAGCAATTACTTCAAACTATCACAAACCCTATCTCAAAAAAAAAAAAAAGAAACAAACAAAATAAAACAAGTAACTGCCCATTGATCATCAACTGCCCTTTGAGTTTCTACCCACTCAGCCTGTGGTGTATGCAAACTTCCAGTCTGTTTATCCTGTGTGTGGTAGATGTGTGTGATATGTGTGGAGTGGGCGAGCATGAATCCTGCCTACAGTTTCTCGGACATCAGAATGCCTTACAGACCAGGCAATGGTGGCACACACGTTTAACCCCAGTAGCCACACTAGTTTGCCATAGAAACCAGGTGGTAGTGATGCACGCCTTTAGTCCAGCCCTAGAAAGGAATAGGAAATGAGAGGAGACAGGTTTCAGACACAGTCTCAATCTGAGATTCCTGGAGGCAGGATCTCCATTTTGGACTGAAAGAGAGGTAAGAGCCAGTGACTGACTGCTCTGCTTTTCTGACCTTCAGGTTGAACCCCAATATCTGTCTCTGGGTTCTATTAATCATGCCTCATGTTTTCACCTGTGTGTCTACAGTGAATGAATGATTACACAGAACAACCGTACTATCCAAACAGGGCATCAGAAGTCTCACACGGGGCATCCACGCGTCTCACACAGCAGGGAGGTGTGCCAAGGTCGTCCGCACATTCATCCTCATTCTAAGCAACAAGCATCTTTTTTTTTTCCTATCACTCCAGCAATGTACAGAAAACAAACACAGAGAAGCCATGGGAAATCCAAGACTTGCTCCAGCATCTTAAGATGAGCATTGGGTATATGTATCAATGCATGGGGGGAGTTTGGAGCTTGAGAGACTGCCCTGGAGTACATTGAGCCCCCTCCATTGAGTTCTGCATTCCTTGAGAGGGAAAATCCATTTTCTTTAAGGATGGGGATGGTTCCCGGTAGGAAAAATGTGCCCTCACCCTCAGGGGTGTATGGGCAGCACATATTGGACTCTGGATAATAATTAAAAGGAAAAGAGGAAATGGAGCTGGAAGGAAACTCAGGAAGTAGGAGTGGACCTGGGAGGAGTTAGGGAGAGAACGTGCGGGAATATGATCAAAATGCATTGCGTGCATGAAATACTCAAAGATCTAATAAAAACTGTACTTTCTAAGAAATTACGGAAACAGAGTAAATGGGGAAAAACAGAATTGCTTTGTTTTAAGAAGGACAGACAAACATGTCTGTATCCCATTAGTCCTTTCTTCCTGACTGTAGCTGGTTCTATTTCCCTGCCTCCTCATAAAGAGGGAACTTATTTTCTTGGAGATTTCCTCCAAGAAGCTCAGGCCCAGGCTTCCCTTCCCTCAGCTTGGGGCATAGCTTTGAAAGCTATGAATGGAAGCAGTTTGGGTTCAGAAATGATTTATTACAGAAACCCTCACCCTGCTCTGCTGAGGTGTGTGACACAGATGATTAAACTGACAGGAGGGGCTGGAGGGATGGCTCCACGGTGAAGAGCACTGGCTGCTCCTCCAGAGGACCCAGGTTCGATTCCCAGCACCCACATGGTGGTCTGGCTTGGTCTTTCATCTTTCTGCTCATTCAATTCTTGTCGAAGCCGAGGAACAAACACTGCAATTCCCTGGATGACTTACAATTATACATAGAGTTCCAGGCTGCCAGGGAAAGAGACTGAGATTTTGACTCAAAAATCCAAGATAGACAGTAACAAAGGCAGACAGATGAAAGGGAGAAAAAAAAAGAGGGAGGTGGAGCCAATGCTGGGTACCAAGGGAAGTCACAATGACAACTCTGATTCTGCCTTGGAGGTGACTGTGCTGACCCTGAGCCCCTTCCTGCTTGGGTGGGAAGAAGTCAGGCACAGAGAGACAGGACATTGCAACACAAGAGAGGAGATCCGGCAGTGTGATGGGCAGGATTTGTGCTCAGGGCTCCAGAGCAAGGCTCTGGCCAATGCAGGGTTGCATGAGACACCCAGCTCCTGTCCTGCCCAGCCTGTCTCCTTCCAGCATAAGACACAGGCTCAGCTCTGTGCTCCACCCTGCTCCTCTGTGTTCAGATTTGCAGAGAGAACTTCCAGTAATTACCAAACAGTAGAGGCCATAACAGAGCTGCCCTGGCCTTCTGAAGGAAGCGTGGCTCCTGTGCCCTGCACCTGCTTTTCCTAGAATTCCCCAGCCCATCTCACCTCCATCTTGGGAAGATCACGAGTGTTAGTGCTGCTTTGACAAGGTGAACCCAGTCCTTGGCTCCATCCAGAAGTCAACCTTTCACCGAACATTTCTGAGCTCTTAGAAAACTGAGCTCCCCCTCCTACCCCAGCTCAGCGCCCCTTTCCTCTCAGCCTCCTGTGTACTGACTGGAGACCACTTCTCTTTCTGGATGAAATCGTCTCTCTTGTGAAGATGGTGAAGTAGAGGAAGCAGGTGAAAAGAAAGGAAGCTTGCCAGGGAGCAGGCAGGGTGAGGTGTGCAGTCATCCGAGGGGCAGCTCCGGGATTAATATTGCCCTGGGAAGATGGGTTCTACACAGACCCAGAAAAAAGCCTGACCCATTGACTGAACTGTGATCATCTCTGGGCAGAATATGCAAAGCCTAGAGTTAGGCTCCGCCCCTCTGAGAAGGTTAAGGAACTGGCTGAACACACAGTGTCCAAAAATAGGAACCAAACCAGCCCTCACTGCAGGCCTCATCCCATAAGAGCTAAGGCACAAAGAACCCTGGGGAAGAAACTGCAGAACGGAGAACAGGGGCTTGTGGTGGACCGGATCTGGAAGGAAATTCAGGACGGTCAGAGGTCAGAGCACTCTCAGCTCCTCCTCCTCCGCCTCGGGCTGTGGGTGTCACAGGAGGACCTCAGAACTTGAGTTCACCACTTCCTTTGCTGAGCATCCTCCGTCTGCATAAGAATTGTGTGAGGAGCGGACCCTGCCTGAGCTCAAACTAGTTCCTTAGAGAGAGAAAGAAAGGGGTGACTCTACAGGGGGAAAGCGGCATCTGGCCACAGTCTCATCCGTAGAAGGTAAGTAGAAGTTTCTGTTGTTTTCTTATCCGTTTCTGTGACAAAGAGAACTTAAAAACAAGAGTTTGTTTTTGTTTGTGGTTTATAAGGAGCTACTGTCTGTCTTAGTTACTTTTCTATTGCTCTGATAAAACACCATGACCAAGGCAACTCGAAAAAGAAAGCGTTTGATTGGGAGCTTATATCCCCCTAGAAGCCAGCAGGGAGAGCTAATTTCAGATGCTATAGACTTTTGAAACCTCAGAGCCCACTCCCAGTGACATGACTTTCCAACAAGGCCACACCTTCCATTCCTTCTCAAACATCCTGCCAACTGTATTCAAAGCCGTCCAGCCTAGGAGCCTGTGGGAGCCATTCTCATCCAAACCAGCACACAGCCCAGGGTGGCACCAAGATGGGAAAACAGGAGCATGCGACAGTCGGTCACATCTCGTCTGCAGTCAGGAACAGAGAGCAACAAAAGCTGATGGTGGTTATCCGTTCTGTCCCTGCCCTGAGAACAGGAAGTGGTGCCCCCCACAGTCAGAGTGGGTCTTCTACTGCCACTAAACCTCCCTAGAAATACAACCACAGATGCAACCAGAAGTTTGCTCTCTGCATAATGTAAAAGCCAATAAAATGACAGAAAGATTCACCATTACAACCCTGTTCGTGGGGTGACATGCAATTCAACCCCTGGCACCAGGACAGGAGAGCTGGAGGTCTGGTTTATTCCACTCAGGAGTTCACAACAGGGCCCCTCTGGTGCTCTTCTTTTTAAAGATTTTATGTGTATGAGTGCTTTGCCTGCATGTATATATGTGCGCCACAGGCAAGCCTTGTGCCCACAGAGGGAATGGGAATCAAAGTAGGCTGTGAGGCGCCATGTGGGTGCTGGGAATTGAACCTGGGTGCTGGGCAAGAGAAACCAGTAGCTTTAGCCTCTTTGCCAGCTCTCCACCTTGTGATGGTCTTCTGTACCAATTAGCGTATTCTTTTACCTGCTTAAGCTCCTCCAACACAGCAGTGAGGAGGTAAATATCCCTTCTATCTGGCTACGCTCACTTCCTGGCTCTTCTGATGGGGTTCAAGTTTGGGGGGAACAGAGTACAATATGCTCCACAGGTCTAAGGGAATCTCTACTGTAACTTCCTCATTTTCTTCAGAGGGTTAAACCCCACTGTCAGAACCACCCATAGGCAATACCTTGGTTACCCTGTAAGTATAAAAACTCATAAGCCGGGAGTTGAACTTAAAACCTCTGGAAGAACAGCCAGTGCTCTTAACTTCTGAGCCACCTCACCAGCCCCTAGATAGTGATTTTTTGATGTGTATTCCATTTTTGTATAATAGTTGCTAGTTTAAAAAAAATCCTATGAAATAGATGTCAGGATTTGTACTATATGATCACACTTTGATCACACTCGACGACAGGAATGGCGGCCATCCAGAACCTTGTGTTGGACCTATTAAGGACACTTGGGCACCCCTGCAGAGAGGCCCAAGTGACAAAGAAATAAGGTTCTTGGTCTCA